CAACCCTTCAGCCCTACGAACACGCCCGCCAAGTTGCAAACTCCGCTTATTAAACACAACCCACCCATAAACACCTTCCGCCTCATTCTCCCGATCAAGAAAAGCAGGGCCACGTTTGACAGGAAGCCTGAAAGGGCATTCAACTCGACGCTTATGCATAAAATGAAGTGCAAGCTCCCGAGGCCCAAAGGCATCCTATACTAGACCAGCCCAACCGCGAATTCCGCCACGGAGCTCATTACATCTCTTCACTGCCCACTTGCGCTCGAACAAGACTTTAAACGCAGTAGAGTGATTTTGTTCTGCAGAATTCTCAGTCCACTGCAAAGAATCCACTACTGTGAGGTCAAATTTTTTTGTTCTGCTGTGTGTAATTTTTTCAGTTCAGTTGTATGTTATTTGAGAGATTAACTGGAATGATAAAAAAACTACCAAATGATCATTCCACTGTGAACTCCCATCTTTTCCCCTTGATGTAGAGCCATCTCGGTTACTCGTGAGCCGAGAAGTAGACGATAATCGAGTAAACTACACAGGTAGCACAAATACAAATGTACATTACTCTCCAGGAGACCCTCCTTAGTAAATAGGCCAAAAGCAGAAGAGAGATAAAGCTGAGGTCATAGCACACGAAGTCGAAATGCCGACTTTTCCCCTCCATTTATGGCCGACGAGTTCGATCCCGAGGACGAATGAGAACGAGCCAATCACAGCTTGCCGAGGCTGTTCACGAATCGGAGCCCGACGTACATCCACACGTTCTCGAAAAACACGGTTAGGCACCGAAAAACCGACACGATAAGGTACGATAGAGTCAGCATGTTTGTCCAACTAAGGCTGGAGTCGGTCAGCATGAAGAGGGCTGACCGCCGATCAGGCAGCCAAGGAAGAAGGACGAGGCGGGCAGGCCACGAACAATCGATCTCGCGCACTGGAGGGCCTATTGGGACCCCGTGGACGAGTGCACATGGGAATCCCAAGACCACGAGCCCTCCGACATCCAACACATGTCGGCGCACGCAGCGGGGGATTGAGAGTTGCAACTCCATCTTGGGTGGCGTCATTGAAGATGGTGATAAAGTTTTGTTGCACGTCAAAGAAATTAAGGCCAATTGGAAGACTTGCTTCCAACTGATTTCGCCAATGTGTGTCTCTACGGCCTCGTCGAGAGCGTGAAGGCGGTGTGATGAAGATACTTCCGCATCACGGTGCCGCGGCGTCGAAAGGGCCATGGAGAGAGATTTGAGAAATATATATTTTTTTAAAGATTAAATAATGTAGTGTGAGGATATGAATGAAAGATATTTGAGGATATTGATAGTGTTTTGAGGTACGCTTAAATAAATACCCTGGGTTTTAGCCAAAGGAGGGGCCACATTTGGACCAGGTGGAGCCCTGATACTTTTTTTTTAAAAAAAAATAGTGTATATATATTTAATACTATAAAATATGTAGAAAAAATATTTCCCATATTATTGATAATTAAAATTATTAAAATCAATATATATAAAGGAAATACTATAAAATATGTATATGTAAAAAATATTTACAATACATTAATAATTAAAATTTATTTTATATGCTATTTTTAATTAACTCAACGACAGAGTACTCGGCTTTTAAGTGCGGCTAGAATCTTTTATACATTTGGATGAAGTGAGAAATTCGTCCATACCGTTGGTAAAGTTTGAAAGGTATTTTTACGATACATTAATAATTAAAATTTATTTTATATGCTATTTTTAATTAAACTAATAATATTCTTATTTATGAAAATATGTACTAATAATTCTTATATATTATAGTTTTAAATAAACTTTTGAAAGTATTTATAATGATTTACTATTTCGGTCTCTTAATTATAAATTGATTTAGTGATTTATAAACCGAATTTAGTTGAATTGTTACATCTTTAATGTTTATTTTTTACTCTTTTTTATTTAATCACATATTATTAATGTTATTTTTTGTGGCCCAAATGACTTTTGTGATGGTTCAAGAAATACTCTTTCACGGTCGAGGTCCACCGGCCCATCTACTCAATAGCAATTAGAGACCCTTTGTACAATAATTTTTCCGGTAGAATTAATCCTCGTTCTTGCCGTTATCTGTGTTCATTCCTAAAACCCTTAAAAATAATACTTTGTGTGTGTTGCATTCATAGTGATTTGGGCCCGAGCCTGAAATCCATCAACCAAGCGCTTTTGTCTCCAAACATGGTGATTTTGTTCTCATACGGTTTGTATTTATTTCAGTCAATTATTATTCTGAACATTTCATTTGTTGTCTATTCTTCTATTTGCAGGTGTTGTCCGGGACTGATTGTTGCTATCCGAACTTTCGGGATTGCTAGATTGCTTCTCGGGACAATTTGGCTGATGCCCGGGATTGATCGAGATCAACCTAGGACTAACCGGGATCTGTTCGGGCTCTACCGGGCTGCACGTTAACTCCGAAGATTGATGCCACTTCAAACGGTGCTTCGAAGGCGGATACCCAACTAATTAATAATTTGTAGTATAAGGTGGTGTTAGAATATACAATTCCATTTCTGAAATTAAATTATTGTAAGTTCATTAACACAACGTTAATTAGCAAGATAAACAATTATGCACCATGTGCAAGACACGTACACTTTATTAGTATACTAATATTTGATCTGTGTATTTGCACAAATATAAAACACGTTTTTGTTTGTATTTATTAATTAAACATGTACTTCCATCATGTAAAAAATATTACTTTTTCTTAAGTTATTTTTATCATTCAAAATTAATTGAGATATAAATTTTATTTTAACCATGCAATGTTTACATTAGTAACATGAATAAAATAATTTATATTATTGTGGCATATATTAAGAAAATTAACATAAAAAAAAAAATCATTGGTGTTTCTGATTTTTATTTTTATTTTTTAAAAATATGTGCCATCATATTTTCTTCCAACAATGCAACCAAATAAATAATAAAAATATATATATTAAGGTATAACAGTTTTAGCAGATTAGTGAGTAATTAATTAAAAAAATGTAACTCTTTTTGGAGGGAAATGAAAATAAGTTTTATTAAATGTTTTATGAAATGCATCAGTATATATATATATATATATATATATATATAGGGGGAGGATCCAATGAGTCCACTCCTCAAAATGAGTCCACTCTTTAAAATATATATTAATTAAATAATAAAATAATTATTAGTTGACTCTGGCGTTGACCGTTGACTTCCGGCGTTGACCATTGACTTCCGACGAAAATCGTTGACTTCCGGCATTGACCGTTGGCTTCCGGTGTTGACTCTGGCGTTGACCGTTGACTTCCGGCGTTGACATCTTGCCCTTGGTTTGCAATATGTATGAAGTAAATATGCATCCAGTACCATGCATTCAATATGAACTAAATATGCATGAGATATGAATTGCACATGCAATCCTTATGAACTAAATATGCACCAGTAATATCTACTAAATATGCACCTGTTATTAACTAAATATGCATCTGTTATGAACTAAATATGCATCATGAATGAACTAAATATGCAGCGAAAAATATGCAATAAAAATGTACATTTTATATAGGTAATTTATGATGCATATTTAGTTAATTTATTATGAATATTTAGGTAATTTATGATGCATATTTAGTTAATACGAAATGCATACTTGTTATATTTAAATTAAATATATAATGATGTTTATATAGTTAATATATGATGCATATTTAGTTAATTCATGAAACATATTTAGTTCTTACGAAATGCATATTTAGTTCATGAACAGTGCATACCTATTTTATTTGAGATCCAATCATAACAATTTATTTGTGTTATTAAACAATTTAAAATTAAAATTAATTATATAATAAAAATCATTAGTTATTAATTTAATTATCTAAAATGTGTATTTTATTGCATATTTTTGTTGCATATTTAGTTTATTCATGATACATATTTAGGTAGTAAAATGCGCATATTTAGTACATAAACAGTGCATACATAGTTGATATTATTGGTGCATATTTAGTTCATAGGGATAACATATATAATTCATTTCTGATGCATATTTAGTTCATACTAAGTGCATAGTACTGATGCATATATACTTCATACACAATGCATACTAAGGGTCAACGGTCAATGTTGAAAGGCAACGACGGAAGTCAACGGTCAACGCCGGAAGTAACGTCGGAAGTCAACGGTCAACACCGGAGTCAACGGTCAACGCCGAAGTCAATGGTCAATTGTCAAAATAATATTTAAATAATTAAAATAATAAAATAAAGAAATAAATAATAAAAATAAAGAATTATTATTTAATTGAAGAGTTAATCTTAGTCACACATAATGTACCAATCTAATGGCTAGAAATGGGTCTCACATTCACACTTTAAATATGTGGACTCATTAGATCCAATCCATATATATATATATATATATATATATATATGTATGTATGTATGTATGTATGTATGCGGTTTTGCTATAAAGTTAACAGTTGACTCTATAGTAGAGCCAACTTTCTATATACAACAAATAAACCTACCATATTAATACAATTATATTAGTGTTATTTAAGTAATCAGAGAATATGGTAGGTTTACTTGTTGTATATAGAAGGTTGGCTCCACTATGAAGCCAACTGTTGGCTTTATAGCAAAACCGTGTATGTATGTACATACATATATATAATACCCTTTTCTTTTGAGTTTTTTTTTTTTTTTTAACGACAGAATTCATTAATAAAAAACACATAATTACAACCGACTCACTAGCCGGAATGGGAGGACTACCCAAGGCAGCCTAGATACCACAACGCACACTACAAAACGAACAAGAAAAAATAAAAACTCCCCACAGGAGAATACAAAAGCTCCCCAAAGGAGAATAACACAACTCCCTACAGGAGAATAACACAACTCCCCAAAGGAGAAAACAAGCTCCTCCAAAAAAGGAGATATCAAAACACAATTCACAAAACAACACATCAACAAACACTACAATAACACAAAACACCAAACTACACAACACATCCAACAACACAAAATACTGCCCTTCCCACGGCTAGAATACGCACCAAGCAGGCCATAACAGCGACACCACCGGCTGCCCACCAAATTGGACCAGACCCAGGTCTAGATTTCAAACCCGGAAACTGCAACTCACGCCTAACCAGATCAGAAACCCGAACCCCAATCCCGCACCCGGCAATCGACCCCGACCCTTCAACCGAGGGACAGCGGCAAATCCGCAAACACTCCACCACCGCTCCAAGCCCGACCCACACCACGGCTCAAGCTCGGCAAGCCGGCCGTCCTCTCCTCCCAAGCACCATAGGAGAAGAAAACCAAGGGGAAAATCCACCACCCCCTGTCGACACCAACGCCACGCTGCCGACACCACCACCCAACCCCGCAGCAGCACAGCATCCCGCGACTCCTCGGCCAAGGAATTCGACGACCAACTCCCCGAGAAGGCAGCCATGGATTCGCAAGATCCTTTCGGTCACGGCCAACCGAGCTCCACCGACCGAGAAACCGGGCTTTAACATAAATAGAGGTCGAATCGTGAGGCCTGGGGGCCGTCCTCCGTCATGGTGCCCGGTGGATCCGCCGGGGAAGGCAGATCTAAAAGAAATTTCCGACGCGAGAGAGAGGGTTTTTTGCTACTGTAAAAAGAGAGAGGAAAGCGGTGTGAAATTCTTTTCTTTAGAGTTGAGAATGATTGCTTTGGACATGTTTTGCCTTGAAGTGGTTTTTTTCTTCAAAATCATTTGGGGTTTGTTGAATGACTATGGCCTTGTTTGTTTAATAGCGGTTTGACAATAATTTAGCTTTTTGAGGGAGTTTAGCTTTTTCATTTGGTCATAACAGCTAAAATTGATGTTTGGTTAAATGACTTTTTGTTTTGGCTTATTGGGTGAATAAGCTGAAAATGAAAACGCTGCAATTTTATCTATATTTTTATTTTACTTATTACTTTTACTATAATAAATATTAAATAAATAATTCAAAAATAGTTATTATATCGAAACAATTTTTTTGTTAACATAAATAATTAGACGAATTCTGGAAAGGTCACGACTCAGCTCGGCTCCTACGGGCGGGGGAATTCGCCCGATAGAACTCACGTCGACGGAAAACGGCCCACTACTACCTGCCCGACAAACAAAATTCAGATTGCTCCTTCAATAATTCTTTTCGGTGACTCGCAGTCCACTGATTGAGTTCGGC